GTGATCCACCCGCCTCGGCCTCCCAAAGTGCTGGGATTACAGGCTTGAGCCACCGCGCCCGGCCCTATATTCTTAGTTTTTATGATGTGGGACATTGTTTTCAAAGGAAGAAATTTGAAAAACCTTTGTTCTTGTTAATCCATGTGGAACATTTGATTTCTTTAAATAATGATTATCTTATATTCCTTTTAACTATAACTGTTTATACTAGGTTGTGTTCTAAGGCTTAAAAAGTCAAAACCAACCAAGGGTGGCTCATAGAAACCAAGGAGATCGATGTATGGGTTTCAAAGGTGTGAGAGTATTCATAGATTTCGTCAGTTTTTTTGTAGACAACAATTATTAACCTGAAGCTTAACCACAATTTCTCTCTCCCTTCCTTCTTCTTTCCTACTATGTTTTTTCTTTTCTTTTTTTATATAACAGTTATTGATATAATTTACCATATAATACACACCATATACTGCATCCATTTAAAGTGTGCAATTCATTGGTTTTGAGCATATTCACAGAATTGTGCAGCCATCACCTCTATTGAATTCCATAACATTTTTGTCATCCCTTAAAGAAAGTTCTATGCATTAAGCAGTCATTCTACATTCCCTGCTATCACCTGCAGCCCATAGGCAACCACAAACCGACTTATTCTCTCTCTACACTTGCCTGTTCTCTTTTGTTTCTGGTTGTTTACCAAATGTGGAGAGTGCCTGCTATGTACCAGACACTATGCCAGGTGCTAGGGGTAGGGATGTGAGGGGAGCAGAACAGACAGTGTCCTTGCCCCCATGGAGTTTACATTCTAGTGGGAGCATCTTAGGATGATGAGATAAGGACATTTAAGCACAGATTCAAAGGATAAAAAGAACCCAGCTTTTTCAAGATATGGGGACAGAAAGAATAGCAAGTCCAGAGGCCCGGAGGCTGACTGGAGTTTTGTGGGTGGGAGGAATAGGAAAGTGGTCAGTGGGCTTCTCCGGCCATCGTAAGACATTTGGGATTTTAAGTGTAGAGGGAAGCACTGACAGGCTTAAATTGAGAGAGGAAGATATGGTGGCTGTTTGTTTCTTTCTTTTGCTATTTTTGTGACATTATTTTGAACAGATCACATTGGCTCCTAGGTGAAGAATGAATTTGGTGTTGTGGGGGGCAGAGCACAAGTAAAGCATCTTGTCTGGGGTGGTTGTGTTTATATAGTGAGGAGCTGATGGTGACCCAGACCAGTGAAGATGGGTTAAGTTGTCTTTGGTCCAGATATGTTTGAAAATACTCATCTTTTTCTTATTCTTACAAGTGCCAGATAACATTCTTTTAAAAAAAAAAAAAAAGATAGTGATTTAAGCATCTTGATTATGAGTGACATGCCCCGAGTCATAGGGGTGGTCAGTGAGGTGCTGAGGGACGGCATTGCACATTTGGGTGCATAGGTCCAAAGTAAGCCCTTTGAAAGAGAGATCCACTATATGATATAATTCATCATCCAACCTGAGATGGTTTGTGTGTCCCTTCTATAATGTAAATCTATTTTAATTAAAAAATTTCCCTTGGAAGAATATATTTGATTGCACTTATTTCAATTTATTATTGTTCTAAATGTTAAATTTATAATCTGGGTTTCTGTAGTCTTCTCAGTATCACCGCATAAATCCCTGAGCCCTGCTGCAAGGCCAAACTACTGTACTCCGCTTGTGTAAAGGATTCTCCTTGAAATCCCCAGCTATAGAGGTCAGATAGCGTGGACAACACAAGGTAGCTGACGAGATAACTTCCAGATCTATTGGTATTGGTGTTCAACTCCTCCTGCAAATGGACCTGATGCTACTGTAACCCACTACTTTACTGTTTCTGACATCTGTACCCTGAGGCCTGTCATTATGTTGTGTATTTTTTTTTTTTTTTTAAGATAGAGTTTTGTTCTGTCTCCTGGGCTGGAGTACAGAGGCTCGATCTCAGCTCACTGAAACCTCTGCCTCCCAGTTTCTTTTCTTTTTTTAAAAAAAAAATTTAATTAATTAATTAATTGATTATTTTCAGACAGAGTCTCGCCAGGCGCCAGGCTGGAGTGCAGTGGCACAATTTTGGCTCACTGCAACCTCCGCCTCCCGGGTTCAAGCAATTCTCTTGCCTCAGCCTCCCGAGTAGTTGGGACTACAGGTGCATGCCACCATGCCCAGCTGATTTTTGTATTTTTAGTAGAGACAGGGTTTCACCATGTTGGCCAGGATAGTCTGGATCTCGTGACCTCATGATCCGCCCACCTTGGTCTGCCAAAGTGCTGGGATTACAGGCTTTAGCCACCATGCCTGGCCTGCCTCCCAGTTTCAAGTGATTCTCCTGCCTCAGCCTCCAGAGTAGCTGGGATTATAGGCGAGTGCCACCATGCCTGGCTAATTTTTGTATTTTTAGTAGAGATGGAGTTTCACCATATTGGCCAGGCTGGTCTCAAAGTCCTGACCTCAAGTGATCTGTCCGACTTGGCCTCCCGAAGTGCTGGGATTGTAGGTGTGAGCCACTGTGCCCAGCCATGTGTCTTGTTAAAATTCATGTCCTTCCTAGACAGTTTTTTGTTTTTCTTTTTTTGAAGAGACAGGGTCTCGCTATGTTGCCCAGGCTGGAGTACAGTGGCTGTTCACAGGCGCGATCCCGCTACTGATCAGCATGGGAGTTTTGACCTGCTCCATTTCTGACCTGGGCTGGTTGACCCCTCCTTAGGCAACCTGGTAGTCCCCCACTCCCCGGAGATCACCATATTGATGCCCAACTTAGTGCAGACATCTGATCAGCATAGTGCACTACAGCCCAGAACTCTTGGACTCAAGTGATCCGCCAGCCTCAGCCTCCTGAGTAGCTGGGACTACAGGCATGCGTCACCGCGTCTGGCTTGTTTTTCTGTTTTTTGAGATAGGGTCTCACTTTGTTACCCGAGCTGGAGTGCAGTGATGTGATACTGGCTCACTGCAGCCTTTACCTCCTAGATTTAAGCGATCCTTCTTCCTCAGTCCTGCAAGTAGCTGGGATTACAGGTGTGCACCACCATGCCAGGCTAATTTTTGTATTTTTTAGGCTTCACCATGTTGCTCAGGCTGGTCTTGAACACCGGGACTCAGTGATCTGCCTACCTTTGGTCTCCCAAAGTGCTGGGATTATAGGCATGGGCTCCTGGCGCTATCCTAGAAACGTTTTAAAATTTGGGAATATTAATTTGAGTGAAAATTAATTACGGTGGGTGAGGGAGAGAGGAAACAAGATAAAGAGAAAACAAAGGGAAAACTAAAGCTTTTTTTTTTTTTAAAGGCAGGGTTTCACCATGTTGGTCAGGCTGGTCTTGAACTCCTGACCTCAGGTAATCCGCCTGCCTTGGCCTCCAAAGTGCTTGGATTACAGGCATGAGCTACCATGCCCCGCCAAAACTAAAGCTTTTTAAAGACTTTCTGAAATGAGAAAGTTTACTATAACTTCTTTATTAGATTAGCTCGTTTAAAAAAAAAAAAAAAAAAATCTCATTTGGGCCGGGTGTGGTGCTCACACCTATAATCCCAGCACTTTGGGAGGCAGAGGTGGGCAGATCACTTGAGGTCAGGAGTTAGAAACCAGCCTAGCCAATATGGTAAAACCCTCTCTCTACCAAAAATACAGTTTTTAGCCAGGCGTGGTGGTGGGTACCTGTAGTCCCATCTAATGGGGAGGCCGGGCCAGGAGAATTGCTTAAACCAGAAGGTGGAGGGCAGAGGTGGGGGATGACCATCTCTTCTCTGGGCTCTGAATGCAGCCCTTTGTCCTGGTCTCTCCCACTTTTGTTTCTTGAAAGCATGTACTGTGTTCCGCTGAGATTAGTAGAGTGTCCTGTGGTAGGGTGGCACGTTCAGTAACTTTAGAAGAGGAAACAGCAGCTACTGTCGCAAGGGAGCTACATGCACACAGAGCACACCTGCGCCCTGTTTGCATTATGTAACAGAGTAAAGTTAATGAGAACTATGATTACAAAACACACCTGAGTCCAGACCACGCCTCATTTTTAAAATTGAGACTCATTGACAAAGTTGGAGACATTCATTTATTTAATCCTTTAATAATTTCCTATTACTCATTATTAGGAATACAACAAACTGTTTCAAGTCATTTTTGCCATCTTTGATGTCGAGTCACATAAGCTCAAGTTTACCGACTTTCCCTCTTGTTCTGGAAGTTGCAATACTAGCAAATGTATAAAACTGTACCAAATCAAATCACGTTGTAAAAATCAAGACTGCATTAATGAAGCTGGTTTGCTTTGGGGGCTAGTCCTGGGGAACTGAGCCACCCATGATGTTCTTTGTTAATGCACTATTTTATTTTTGGCAGGGTCTTGCCCTATTACTCAGGCTTGAGTGGTATGATCATGACTTACTGTAGTCTTGACCTTCCAGATTCAAGCAGTCCTCCCACGTCAAACCTCCCAAGAAGGTGGGACTACTCACGCCTGGCTAATAAATATATATATATATATATATATATATATATATATATACACATACATACACACACACACACGTATATATATTTGTAGAGTTGGGATCTGCTGTGTTACCCAGACTGGTCTTGAACTCCTGAGCTCAAATGATCCTCCCACCTTGGCCTCCCAAAGTGCTGGGATTATAAGCATGAGCCACTGTGCCTGGCCTGTTGATCCACACTATTGACAACGTTTAATGAATTGGTCTTAATTTATGATTTGAAGAAATTGGTCCAGTAGTTCCAATAGTAGTGACTTCAGCCTCAGATGACAGCCTGT